TAGCTGGAAATACAGGCATGTGCCACCATGACCAGCTAATTTTTGTATTTTTAGTGGAGATGAGGTTTTGCCATCTTGGCCAGGCTGGTGTTGAACTCCTGATCTCAGGTGATCCTCCCATCTCAGCCTCCCAAAGTGCTGGGATTATTATAGGCATAAGCCACCGTACCTGACCATTGATGTATTTCCTAATTTTTACCTAGTTTAAAAGATTTAATATTTTGAGGGAGGTCTATAAATATCAATGACAGTTGAACTGAATTTGTTTACCTTTTTAAATGGAGTTGAATTAGCTATGTTACAAAGCATATTTGAAACATCCCTTTATTGTCCTCTAAATTTATCTTAATATTTTACGATTACAATCTGGAAATTAAATAAACAGTACCTTTCCAATAACTCCACTTGTCTAGAAAAGGTTAGCCTGTGTCCAGTGAAGGCAAATGTTAAAAGAGGTGGATTTATATAGAGACTTTTGTACCTCAAAGAAATTCTTAACACTCTTCAGGCCTGTTGTACATTTTATCAGTGGTATGTAACTTTATTTGGATGCCATAGTTGTAGAAAAATAAAAATTTTGTGTATAGCCTTAGAGATTTACAGATCTAGGTCATGTAAATTTTTTGTTTATTTTTATCCTATTTTTGGCTGATTTCTTAATCTTTTAGAAACAAAATTTTAAATTGGATACGTCGTGTAGTGTGCTTGTCACTACTCAAGTAAAATCACTGTAGAGAGGCAAACAGACTGACATACTTCATTTTATCCAAAGGACATCAGCTCTATAGCAGGGCAGAAAACAAGATGATTATTTCACGGTTATTAATTAAATTTGCAGAGATAGGTGTAATTCAGAGGCTTTTTTTAGGTTGCCAATTTTGAGTATATATCCCTTTAAAAAAAAAAAAAGAACTAGCTTTTGCTTTTCTCCCAAGATTGTAATTTTGTAAGCACTAGTCACTGACTTTTTAGTTAACTGAACCATCCTAATTCTCAAACAGAAGAGAAAAGGTGGGAGGAACTTTCAGGCTGCTCACAGAAGGAATATGCTAAAAGGCCAACATGAGAAAGAAGCAGCAGATCGAAAACGCAAGCAAGAGGAACAAATGGAAACTGAGCAGTAAGTATTTTTTTTCCCTAATTTTGCGTTCTTTTTAAAGGCTAGCATGGAATTTTTAAACAATAGACTTTCATTTTCCAGACTTTATGAAGCCTTTTGAAGAAGTGACTTTTCCCATGTGTTAGAAAAATCTTCAGTATATGATGATGATCTTATTTCAGGCTTCATTCTTTTCTGAGAGGATGAAATTGAGGCAGTCACTCTGAATTATTTTTAAATTTAAACTGAAAGTGCAGATAGGATTTAATTGGAAGTGGCTTTTCAGGAAGCATACACATACTCTGCCATTTATTTGTATAATATATGCATAGGAAGAGTGGTGAGAATATGCTGGTGGAGAAAGAATGCAGGAAATTCCCTTTATTCATTATACCACCAAACAGGCCTCACCCTAAAGACCAGCAAAAGTAACAAAAGCACATTTGGAAACCCAGGAAGCCGGTAAAAGTATATCTAAAGGCTGACAGGGTGTATATTATTATATATGTGCAATATAAATTGAATTCAAAGCTGTTTTCTCTTAAATTTTGATACTTAGAGACAGTACTTGCCATGGGGAATTTCTTTCCCCTCATTATATAATTTTATTACTAGAAGGAAAAGTAATAGCAATGATGAACAGACTTTGCGTCTTTATTACATTTGCTTTCTTACTCATGTCACTTCTGAGTTCTCTGACATGCTTTTCTTTCCTTGTGAAGTGTCTTACATTCTGACTAAACTTTGTTTTGTTGTTGTTCAGTGAGGTGATTTTTAAAACATGCTCGAGGTCAGTAAGACAAAGTTAAAGATGAGTAGTGAACTATTCTTGAGTAATTTTGTACTTTTTTCTCTACATAATATATCCGTAAGCCAAAGTCTTTCTTCACAAGTACAGCATTTTACTCTGCTTTCTTAGTTTGGAGGATATACAAGTATTTTTAGCTGCTTGAGGGAGTAATTTAAATAATTTATCTAAAGCTCAGAAATATTACTCCCTCCAATCTGTTAGACTTTAAGCACTTCTGTAAATATTTAAGTTATTCTTTGTCACATCATTTTCTATCTTTTCACTGAAAAGTTGTTGGACTGTTTGTTGCTTTTGACTTGATTGTGCTCCAAAAATTAATATATAAAATTAGTTGTTACTTAGTATATGTAGCCCAACTCCTCTTTAGTATCTCAAAGTATCTTTATGTATTTCAGTTCTTTTGAATGTCCTCCAATGTAACTTTCTCAAATTCTAATATTTGTGTTTTCTTTCCTTCTCCTGTTATTACAAAACTTTGTACTTGGACAGTTTTGCTCTGTAAAGCATTTCAGATGCAGCTTGTATGAAATGCATTATGCAAAATAAAGTTTATTGTATTGTATTCCCAGCCAAACAACATGTAATCTACAGTAATAAAAAATATATCTCATTTTGGGCTCAAAGCATTAATCCAGTTACTGAAAAGAGAATACAAGTGGAGCAAACAAGAGATGAAGATCTTGAGACAGACTCATTGGACTGAATTTCCCCCTCCCCCCCTTGATGGAAGAATGTTCCAGATTCTAAATTGAGGACTTCATTATTAATGGCATTACTGTGTTATGATTGTTAACAAATTTCCTGGAAGGTACACACTACATACTAAGGTCGACCATCATTCCTGTTTTTTTTTAACCAAGCTTAAAATGAAGCTTTGTGTTTGAAAGTAATAACAAGCTCAGATGAAGATGGTGGTTGTACATTATTCATTTAGAAAATATAAAAATTCATTTTGTTTTGAAGCTAGGCATTAAACTGGAATAGCAGTTTTACCCCTGAGAATGGGGCCCTTCCCTTGACATTCCTTTGTTGTTTAATTCTTTAGAATCTTAATTGTTTTTTTAATCCTGAGAGATTAAATAGTAGTAGACTTGTTAAGAAAATGAAACTGTAACCAAAATTTTAAAATAAAGTTTTTTTAAAAAAAATACCTGATTTTTAGATATTTTTTGTTCTTGTCTATTTGAATTGGTTCATATGGCCTGAACTAGACATTAAGATTTCAATTTTAAGTGGTTATTTTTGTGAATGACAATAAAATGGTACCTTTTAATTTGTGAAATGTTAGTGGACATCATTTGAGTTTGATATATTGGCCAAACTTTTTAAAAGTATGGTATCTTAACTTTGAAGCTAACTACAAAACTCCTCAATTATCTACTCTTTGGAGACGTGGGCAACAATTAAATTGGTCTATTTTAACATGCTGCTTTTAAAAATAATTGATGTAGAAGCCGTTAAATATTTATAGGTATTCTCTTCCCACTGTGGCCTGTTTGTCCAGTGACAAATAGGTCATTTACCCTGAAATTGGTCATTTACCAACACACTATTATGATGTCACTGAAAAGTTAGATAGGATTTAATTTAGCATGTTGATTTGAATTTTGTTTGTATTTATACTATGGAATTGCACAGTTCTAAGAACTACAGTCAGTTCCTTTGCAGTCTAGGCTATTGATTTATTTTAAGGAAAACATTTTTAGCTTTTACATAGGGATTGTGGGCATTCAGTAATCAGTCACAAAGTTCCAATGTTTTGAAATATTTGTGTTAACATTTGATAGGCAGAATAAAGATGAAGGAAAGAAGCCAGAAGTTAAGAAAGTGGAGAAGAAGCGAGGTTAGTTATTTCACTTACTAAAATGTATAAAATTACACATGCAAAGGAAGTTATATAGACATAACTTTTTGTGTATTGGTGTTGGAATCACTTTACTCTTATATCCGACAAATATACTTTTGCAGGTCCCTAATGGGCTTTATATAAATTGCATTGTAATATAAGGATAATGTTTAATGCTCATTATTTGATGGTGTCAAATTTCAGTACACTTGCCGAAACCTGGATGCTTTCCCATTTCAGACAAATCTCTTGGGAAAAGCAGGTGTTTAGGAAATGGAAAGCAGAGGAGTTATTGGATATGGACTATTTGTTTTAGAAAAAAACACAGCCAGGTGGTGGTTTTATGCATTTACACTGTGTTGTTTTTCTCACCCAGACACAAAATGGCAATAACTAATTCTTAGTTAAGCTATTGTGTCTATCAGTGAGATTACTAAGAACTTTTTAAAAGGTCCACTAATTCATTATACTTAGCCTGTTTACAGAAATACTGATTTTAGAAAAACTGTTTACTGTTTTTCACATATTTTAATTTGTAGAAACATCAATGGATTCTCGACTTCAAAGGATACATGCTGAGATTAAAAATTCACTCAAAATTGATAATCTTGTAAGTGTTTAACTTCATTTACAACTACAGAACTGCATTTATAGCTACACCCTTTATTTTTCTCACATGATCTTATATGTAAACTTAAAAGGGATAATTACTGGTTATTTTGCACTACCTTATTTTTTTTAAGTGATCTTTAGAAACATTATAAATGTTATAATTAATTAACAGCTATGAAATTACTGTTTTGTCATGAAGGATGTGAACAGATGCATTGAGGCCTTGGATGAACTTGCTTCACTGCAGGTCACAATGCAACAAGCTCAGAAACACACAGAGATGATTACTACACTGAAAAAAGTAAGTGATTTCAAGTCATGTAGATTCTTTGAATTTTATCATTACTTCATTTTAAAATTGTTTAAATAAATCAATTAGGAAAACAGTGATGATGAATATATATTGTTTTCTCAGATACGGCGATTCAAAGTTAGTCAGGTTATCATGGAAAAGTCTACAATGTTGTATAACAAGTTTAAGAACATGTTTTTGGTTGGTGAAGGAGATTCCGTGATCACACAAGTGCTGAATAAATCTCTTGCTGAACAAAGACAACATGAGGAAGCGAATAAAACCAAAGACCAAGGGAAGAAAGGGCCAAACAAAAAGCTAGAAAAGGAACAAACAGGTATGTGATAAAAAGCTGACAATTTTATACCAGTTTTTAAACCATTTGCCACTGCTTTTAAAAATTGCTTTGATACATAGTCTCATTGTTAACACCACAGAAAAAGCATGTATAGGCAAAATGGTGAAAATGTGATGGGCTTATTAAGTACTAAAGCAATGTGCATTCAAAACAAAAGAATCATGTCAGTTTATATGAAAAAGAGACATCTGAGGCAAAAACCATTGATCATGAGGCAGATGACTCTGGAGAAACATTTTTAGAAAACCATCCATCACAATGCCTCCTCATCCCTAGAGGACCCACTTCCTAGTTGCTCAGCTGCTTCTGATGTTTTCTTCTCACCTAAAAAATAAAATAGCATATAGCCTTTTAAATTAAAACACAGCATCATAGGTGGAGACTAAACCTGCCATTACTTCTTGTTGTTAACAGCTGATACAGGTATTCTAGTGATGCTGCTATGCTGCTGAGTTATCCTGAACAGACTATCTCTTTACTGTATTAATGCCATGTCATAATTTTTACTACTCAGTACTTATGTGTGAATAAGTTTAAGAAAATTATTGCTTACTGGTAGCATATAAATTCAGTGAACAATGATAGTGCCAAGTGACCAAGATTGTCCACATGGGTAGCTAAGATATATCTTTGCTTTCTAATGGTTCTCAATGTACACAGACTTTCATACGTAAAATTATTAAAATTGTGTGAAACTACCTTTGGGCTATGTATATAGGTGCAACATGAGTGAATTTCATGTTTAGAGTTGGGTCCCAACCACAAGATAAACTGACATATGTGCAGATTATTCCCAAATCCAAAACAATTCTGTACCTTATCTACATTAAATGAGTCTTATAAAGCACTTAGATGTGTAGCATTTATGTAGAGCTTTTTCACTAAATTAGTATAGTTGAATCCTGCTAGTATTTATTAATAACAGTAGTTATTTTCATTTGTATTAGGAAAAATTTGTAATGTACACAAATAGAAGTAATTTCCCATGTCCCTGTCACTCAGCTTTGGCAGTTATTAGTATATGATCATTGTGCTTTTGTAGCCCATAGCTTTCTCTGTGCCTCTCTTGAAAATTATTTTACAACAAATTCCAGACATACCATTTCACTCATAAACATTTCAGAATGTATGTATGAAAGACTCTTAAAACAGAATCATAGTACCCTTATCAGCTCCTCCAATCTTGTTTTACTAAACATCTTCATGTCAGTTGCTTAAGGTAGAAGCTGACATTTCAAAAGCAGTTGGATGTTTTTTTTGTCTTTCTGTTGTTGCTTTATTAGGGAATAATGGGTCCCCTTAAAAAATTATTAATACAACTTATTTATTATGAACAAAAAGATCAATTAGGAAATATTCCTTTAACACATTTTATTCTAAAATACTAATATCTTTTCAAGTTTGATTCACATTGCTTTTTCGAAGTAGTAGAATAAATCAATATGCTAAGAATTGTAACACCCTGTAGTCTTCTTGGTAATAGTAACAACCAGAAAAATCAGATTAATAATCTACTTCCTGTACCCATAGAAACAGTTATCCTGCTTTTTATGATAACTTAGCTGCCCAAAGATTCTGGTGGTGATCCCCTTTCATTCAAGAGAGGGCTGTATTACAGTGCAATTTCAGATAAAAGACATCCGATTATTATTTTGTAAGCTTTAACATAGTTTTTCTATTGGATTCCTTCCCAAGGGTCAAAAACTCTAAATGGAGGATCTGATGCTCAAGACGGTAATCAGCCACAACATAACGGGGAGAGCAATGAAGACAGCAAAGACAACCATGACACCAGCACGAAGAAAAAGTAAGGAATAGGTTTTAATGGGTCTCCTAGTGTTTTTCTCACTCAAGTTTATAATCACAGTTGTGTTCCAGGGTTATTTTAATATAAGCAGTTATCTTTTGATGACTCAGTTCCTGAATTCAGTAAGTTGGAAATAAAAAAGGCAGAAGACTAAATATCTTTTATCTTCAATGACACTGCCACTGAATTCAGTGGAATGGAGCAAGCTGGGAACCCAGTTAAAGAAAATATTTGCCCCTGGACGACTTTTACTGAGATACTGTTAGTAATAACTTGGATTCACACTTTGTGAGAGGATAATTGTGAAAAATTAGATGGAGAATCACAGGCGATTTTATAATACCCACCAAAAATAGTTGAAATCTTGGCTTGTTCCATTGCATATTTGAAGGACTTAGAATGAGGCATTTCTTCTAATTCTGAAATTGAGGGAAATCTTGTCTCTATCAAACTTTTTTTTTTTTTTTTTTGAGAGTCTTGGTCTGTCACCTAGACTGGAGTGCAGTGGTACAATCTCAGCTCACTGCAACCTCCACCTCCTGGTTTGAAGCGATACTTCTGCCTCAGCCTCCCAAGTAGCTGGGATTACAGGCCTGCGTCACCATGCTCAGTTAAGTTTTGTAGTTTTTGAGTAGAGATGAGGTTTCACCATGTTGGCCAGGCTGGTCTTGAACTCCTGACCTCAAGTGATCTACCCGCCTTGGCCTCCCAAAGTACTGGGATTATAGGCAGGGGCCATTGCACCCGGGCAACCTGTTTTTATTAACGTTTTAAAATATGTTGATATCACAGATACAAAACATTGTTATTTTCTTTAAGAGAATTTACTTTTAAGCTAGAAATGATGAAAAGGCTTGGTCCAAGCACTTTTCCTGAGTTATTTTGCTTCATGTGCATATTACTTTGGGAAGAAGGTACAACATGGTAGAATACAATTCTCAAGAAGAAAAATTGACTTTTAATAAAAAGTCAAGTTTTTTGGTTTGGTTGGTTTCAGTCTTTTCATGATTTAAAAAGTTCATCATCAGAACAGAGTCCTAATTCCAGTTGTTGTACCTTTCTTTCCCTTTTCTTCAGGCCATCCAGTGAAGAGAGAGAGACTGAAATATCTCTGAAGGATTCTACACTAGATAACTAGGTTGACATACCTGGATATAGAGAACACTTAAGAAGTTTGTAATGGTTTCCATTTGAAATAGACTGCTGAAAGTTTTAAATTTTTATAAGCATAGGTTTTGATGTTGAAAACTTGTTTTGTGGGAAAAAAATCCCTCTCTTTGTTTTAAAGTAAACATTATTGCTAAGTGTACTTGTGCAGTATTAACAGCTACATTATACAGTAAATGTGAGGTAAAATCCATTGTTAAACTGCTTTTCCAGACATGGTTGTAGCATATTTTCAATTAGTGTGTGTTTGTTATTGTGTAATTGATAGAACAAAGTTACCTTTTTAAAACTACTTGTATAAACCTTTCCCCCTTTCCCAAATACTGTGGGTTTTGTGCATAGTTTTTACAAACCTTGGATTTACCAGACTGTCTTTTCACTGTTTGTGGGTTTTGTAGAAGTTGAGCATTTTTATGGTAGATAAAATGTTACTTCTATACAAGTACTCACTCCCTTTTTATCAAAAGTTAACTTTAATCTCAGTCTACCTTGTGCTACATTATCTGGCTTCTTTGGAACAATGTGTGGTCTGTATGGTTTTTTTTGTATGACAACTAGTTAACCAACTGACATTGAACTGATTGAGAATTCTATAAATTATAAAACTTATGTTAATTTTTGAAAGTAATTTAGTTTTGTGGCTGGGCATTCAGGGAAGTCATATGACTTCTCTGCAGATAACAGACTGGGTTTATATAGGAATGAATCTGGCTTTAGGGTTAAATCATTTAAGGTCCTTTTACAGGCAGGCACTAGTAATTAAAACTGGAAACTAAAGTTTATTTTTGAGAAATGGCTGAAGTTTCTATGTTGTTAAAAATTCCTTTAGGAAGTCACTAAATAATTGTACTTAATTGGAAGAAAAAAATCCATGATGCTTACACAGTAAATATAAATAAATGCTATTTAAGGAAATTTGCCTATTTGAAAGCATGGCTATATTAGAAGTTTTATTTTCATTTCTAGATTCCAAAAATAGAAACATCAGTTGTTCCAACATAGTACTTTGATAGTCTGTACATTGATATGTATGGACGAAATCAGGGTGAGACCAATGTTACAAAATTTAAGGGTATGTTAACTAAAGGGATAGCATTTCTAAAATATTTCGAATATTAGGTCATTTAGCATTTTTCAATAAGTACGCTACTCATGTTTTGAAACTATGAATATGGAAAAATGGCTTAGCAGCATCTATTTATGACACTGTATGGTTAACCCTCTGGGATAACTGTTTTCATCTACAGAATTGAATTTTTTTTTTCTAAGAGGTCTTACAGTGGAACTAAGAATCACTGTTTTGAGAGAACCTGCATATATACCAGTCATTATCTATTTGGTCCTTATACAGTTTTAACTTAGATTTACTCTAGTTAAGCCATAAGTTTCAACGTGTAAACTTGTTTTGATTAAAGAATTTTTCTATCAAACTCTTCTGGTAAATTACTTTCTTGCTACTTACAAGAATAAGTGAGGGAATGCTGGGTTTGCTGCCAAGGAAATAATTTCTTAGTTAACTGGTCACAGAGGCTGTATTGTTTTGGGAAACCAGGGTATAACTAAACAGTACGTTCCAGATGATAAAAATAAAGGAAATGTTATTGATCTTTTGTTCACCCTCCCTTTTTTCCCATAACCCACCAGATCTATAGTTTTACCAAGAAGCCATAGAATTTTCAACTTCTAGAGATATAGCATCATTCTCATAATTCATGTCTGCTTGTACAGGCTGACCTTGCTCTAACTAACTAGTTAATGCATCTTCACTTCAAGCATTATTGCCTTTTCTTTAGTCATAACCCTCAAGAAATTTGCTTTGTCAAAGGCTGGCTTACAGATAACTATCATTCTCAGAACTCCTGATAATTATTCATAGGAATTAAGAACTTTTAGGATCACTGAAATTGTTCACTGGCTCAATTTAAGTTGTGCCTGTGGTCAGAACTTCACAATGCATCATGGTGCCAAGAGAGAATTTGGAGATAGCAAAAAAAAAAAGGTATGTGTAATAGGTAGTTTTAACACCTATTTTAGGCTTGTCTGTGTGTGTGCGTTTTGATCAATGGATAAAAGTCATACATCAGCCAAGCGCAGTGACTTCATGCCTATAATCCCAACACTTCAGGAGGCCGAGGTGGGTGGATCACGAGGTCAGGGGTTTGAGACCAGCCTGGCCAAAACCCCATCTCTACTAAAAGTGCAAAGATTACCTGGCCATGGTGGCATGTGCCCATAATCCCAGCTACTTGGGAGGCTGAGACAGGAGAATCGCTAGAACCTGGGAGGCAGAGGTTGCGCCACTGGACAGCCTGGGCAAAAAGCAAGACTCCATCTCAAAAAAAAAAAAAAAAAAAAATCATACATGACTGAGCAGAACTGATTGTTGAAGTTTTCTTAGCTGTTTGGAGAAACAGCAGATACATCCATCTGAATCCAAGAACTTATTGGACTTGGTATGATTGGAGAGGACAATACACTTTATAATTACTATTATATTCAATGATTTTCAATAATATGATGCTAGATTTTGCTGATACAGTACTGCTGTCTGTTTTCCTACTCACATACACTTACCTGGTTACGGATGTCAGGTTAAGATGAAGTCTGCCTCTAATCCTGTATAAAAGCAAAGTTAGCAGGGTGCTAACTTTATTTTGTGCTCTAATGGAAATAGCAAACCCGTATCATTAAACTCTTTAGAAACAAAGAAGCTGGTATAATAGGCAGACTGAGGACTGAAATGTTTGTTTAAAGAAAGAGCTTTTGCTTCTCTCACATACTTTGTCCACATGCATCCACTATTATATAAAAGTCAAATTCAACCACCAAGGAGGTTGACTGACATGTTCATGACAACATTTTCAACCTGTCTATCTTCATTGATGTTACATGTAATTTGACAGGCATGTTATATTTGATTGAAATAAGTATAAAGAAAAGCTGTCTTGAAAAAAAGAAAAGCTGTCTTAAATCAGGGTTTCATAGCTCCAGAAATATACAAAGTTAGGGATTTCCTTGGACTTGAACTTGGTGGGATACCTGTATAACTGATAGATAATAACATATGGGCAAACTGAGAGTAACCTGGTTGGTTAACTTTTCACCTCAGTTTCACTAGAAACGATAATAGGTCTTTGATGAACAAGTTAGCCCTTATTAAGAACTAGTAGACTAACATTCTCAAATAATAAAACAAGAATCCAGTAGTAGAAATGTTTTAACTGGCATATTTCTTCTTTGTCCACTAAAATGAATTGACACTACACATGGAATAATGCATTATGGCAATAATTAACTTTGTGGGTTTGGTGTTTTGAGAGTATGAAATGAAGATGAATAAAATGTCCTTGCATATTCATGTAAGAGCTATAAGGAATGCAGTATTGAAAAGGAATCAAAACTTTTACCTGTGGAATTTTAGGGTTGGGTAAATCATTCATTTATCTTTATGATTTGCCGGCAGTTACCGATCTGCTCAATTTAGCACTGTTGTATACAAGAAAGTAAAAACTTAGGTACAACTCAGCCTCTGAGTTCTCTATACTGATCTGTGTATGGACTGAATCAATGAATGATAGCACTAGACATACCAGAAACAAGTGCTTGTCATCTCCAAGCCATGGACTTAACTGGATATGTGGCATTTAAGTCCATAAAACATACTTCACTGTCAATCTTTTAAACATATAGGCTTATAGGTTTCATCAGTTTTCCATTTATATGATAAATGTCTGTTCTTAGCCATCCAGATAGTCAAATTTAAATATAACCTAGGAGAGAGAAAACTTTATTTTAAATGATGCATTTAAAATCTACAGTATTTCTAAAGTTTTTTAAACAGTATTAAATTTTCCATCTGTAAAGGTTTCCAGAAAGTATTTGAATATAGATAGCTATAAATTTATCTGATGGTCTAGACCTGAGAATAAAAAGTTTCTTTTGCTGGGTGCTATGACTCATGCCTGTAATCCCAGCACTCTGGGAGGCCAAGGTGGGTGGATCACATAACGTCAGGAGTTCGAAACTATCCTGGGCACGTGGTGAAACCCTGTCTCTACAAGAAATAAAAAAATTAGCCCAGCATGGTGGCATGTGCCTGTGGTCTCAGGAGGCTAAGGTGGGAGGATCACCTGAGCCTAGGGAGGTCACGGCTCCAGGGAGCCAAGATCACATCACTGCACTCCAGCCTAGGTGAGAGTAAGACCATATTTCAAAAAAACAAGTTTAAAAATTAAAAGTTTTTTTTTTTTTTCTCAGAATAAGATGAGAACAACTAGGATTATTAAAGTAAGGGGACCAGAAGAATGGAAGACCTGGACCAGAAAACCTTTTCTTTTTGCTTACAGAATATTAGCATCTATCCAGTAGTACCATTACTGAAGAGTAAGTGAGCCAGAACTCGCAATCAATTAACATCTTGATTTTTCCATGTTTTTACAGTCATATGAAATCTGCTATTGTTTTTTAAATCATGGTATTAAATTGACATATTTTCAACTCATAGCATTCATAAAGCTTTTATCAAGAAATAAAGCTTCAAGTTAATGTTGAAGTACATTAACTTCAATGTTAATGTTGAAGGAGTTATGAGTACATACTCAAGATCTTTTTACATTAATTATTCACATAGTCTTACTAACATGTCTGTGTACCTAGTTTCCTTCAAAACAAAACCTAACATTACTAAACAGCACACTACAAATTACCCCAAAGCATCCAGGCACGATGGCTCATGACTAATCTCAGCACTTTGGGAGGCTGAGGTGGGAGGACTGCCTGGTCAATATGGTGAAGCCCCATCTCTACTGAAAATACAAAAATTAGCAGGGCATGGTAGCAGGCGCCTCTAATCCCAGTTACTTGGGAGGCTGAGCAGGAGAATCGCTGGAACCCAGGAGGCAGAGGTTGCAATGAGCCGAGATTGCGCCATTGCACTCCAGTCTGGGCGACGAGCAAGACTTCGTCTCAAATAAATAAATAAACCCAACGCTATTAATTTTGTCTTATTTGTAAATAATTCATTATTAGTTTCCCTAATTTCCATTTCCAAAAGATGTTTAAAGGATCTTTACCTTGGAAGCCTCATGGTAGAGGGTGTAGCTCTCACATTCTTCAAAGAATTTTCAAAACACTTCTACTACTTGATGTATCATTATTCTATCTTTAGCAAAAACACTGGACAGAGATGAATAGGGAAGGCATGGATTAAGTGGAAAGAATATGTGTGACTGACAAAGGATTTATAGCCAAACTACATAAAGTAATACAACTTAACTCAAAATGGGTAAAAAGCACTAAATTAAAAAATACACTTTGGAATAAATATGAAATTAATATGTTATTAACATTTAAATACAATCAGAATATCTGTGATTTGAACATTTTTTTTTTTTTTTTTTGGTAGCTTTAACAGACTGTTCAAAGTTGATCCTGTTCCTCAGTGGCGTTTCTTAAAAATAAGGTAACTATCCAAGAGAACATTACTTCATGAGGGGGTACTTTTGTGTGTGTATCTATTAATTAAAGGTTCCAGGATCAACATATGGATAAGCAAGGAATTCCCCCAGTTTGTTGCCTTCTGAATCATAGTGGAGCATTCGGAAGCAAACATCACAAAAGAAACATGGGTCCTCTGGTGCAAAACTGTCATTGTTCGTCACCCATCTGTAGTTTTTAAAAAAAGAAGTACATCATTACAATCAAATTTTCCATATCTTAACATGCTTTAAGTTATGACTTGTAGTAATCTGTAAATATAACATTCCCACTATTTCCTTATCAGTCTGTTATTAATACATAATAATCCTTTAAATAATTTTGTTTACAGATAGAAATACATCACCACCGATACTCTCTCTACAAAGCAAAAGCGCATCTAACTTTAAGAAATATTCCAGAGGCTGGGTGTGGTGGCTTGTGCCTGTACTCCCAGCAGTTTGGGAGGCTGAGGTGGGCAGATCACCTGAGGTCAGGAGTTCAAGACCAGCGTGACCAGCATGGAGAAACCCTGTCTCTATTGAAAAAAAATACAAAATTAGCCATGTGTGATGGCTCATGCCTATAGTCCCAGCTACTCGGGAGGCTGAAGCAGAAGAATCGCTTGAACTCAGGAGGTGGAGGTTGCGGTGAGCTGAGGTTGCACCATTGTACTCCAGCCTGGCCAACAAGATCAAAACTCTGTCTCAAAAAAAAAAAAAAAAATTGCAGAATGCTGTTTCTCTGTAATATCCTTAAAGGAAGAATATAAATCTACTTGAAAGCATGACACATTTGCCATGACATACCTATCCTCCAAGTATGAATATGGTCATTTTCTTCTCACAGACCATTTTGAAAACCATAACAAAATTAGATGCTATAGATCTGATACACTTTTGCTTAATTACCTTCTTAACTGATAAATGAGTCCTGGTTAATTTGAAAACTACAACTCTTTTTACCTCTAGAGCTAAAGATTATGTTACAATATGAAGTACATGCAAAGAGCAATTTGGGCAACATTAATCAACCAAAATGCTGAATAGCATGAAGATGCTATTATATAGGATGTTTGAATTCTGTATCTCATGAAATGTTTACCTTTAACATTATTTTCACTTTAATCTGATTAATCATGTTTCCTACCGATCTTTTAGAAAAGAATATTGTGGGAGGGCAAAACAGACTGAAGATACAGGTTGAGTATCGTTTGTCTGAAACGGTTGGGACCAGAAGTATTTCAAATTTTTTCAGATTTTCTTCAGATGTTTGAATATATTATGCATATGCTTACTGGTTGAGCATTCCAAAACCGAGAATCTGAAATCCAAAATGCTCCAATGATCATCTGAGTATCATATGTTAGCACTCAAAAACTTTCAGGTTTTAGATTTCTGATTCTTGGAATGCTCAACCTGTACTAAATTCTCTTTCCTCCGAGTGGCTTTCAGATGTTATTTTATAGAGATGTTATTGCTATGTTTTCCAGGCTGGTCTCCTGGCCTCAAGCAGTCCTCCCACCTCAGCCTCCAAAATCAATGAACTTTTTTTACTGACCCACAGTAAGAAATGCCTAATAATCTAAACACATATAATCACATAAAGTAAAAAATTTTATAACTGTATTTTAACTTCATATGCTATGGTATTTTTTTTTATTGAGAAGCTGGGGGATAAAGCTGATTATGTAAACTATATAGACAAGAGGCAGAAAGAACATAGCTCCCTGAGCATTTTGGCTTAAACAAGGTTTTCTTTCTTTAGACTTCCCAAAATCCCTTTATGGTACACTGTGACCATCTAAGAGGGAGTTATTGTACAGAGCATTTCCTGAATGTATTCTATCAGAAAATCCGTGCTTTGCTTAACACTACTACCTTTTATTCATTAGCTGTATACATTTTACAAGCCTGAAATTTGACCTACCCCTGACTTGTGTACATATATACTGTTTAACAAAGTTTTAACTCACTCAACTGTTTTTGATTTTGTGGCACTTCCCTACAAGATAATACTTCATATTTATAAACTAAAGTGCAAAACTTCTTAGATCCAGAATGGAAAATAAATACCCAAAGTCAAAATAAAACTACCATTTCTCAGATTGAAAAAATACATTATCACTCACCTAGCTGTATACATTTTACAAACAAAACATTTTCTGGTCCATAGCCAGTGCTTCTTGATAAGAAGGGGATACAGTGTCCTATCCAAGCAGTCATCATGATGCACAAGCCTTTTGTTCATGGGAAAATAAAGATATTAAAGTGATAAATATTAAGTGACAAATTTTTATGTGCTATTAAATATATCTGCACCCGAGTATTAGGAAAATAGGTATTTTCAATTTTTCCTTTCAAGACATTGCTAAATTACCTTTTATGCCATGTTTGACCAAATTGTGTTCCACAAAATAACTTTCTCCAAGAGCATTTTGGATTAAGCAAGGTTTTCTTTCCTTAGACTTCCCAAATTCCTTTACCGTCATGTATACTGTGACCCCCTAAAGAGGGAGTTACTATGTAGAGCATTTCTTGAATGTATTCTATCAGTGAATCCTTGCTTTGCTTACCACTGGTACCTTTTATTTATTTATTTTTGAAATGGGGTCTTGCTCTGTCACCCAGGATGGAATCGTGGCATGATCATGGCTCACTGTGGCCTCAAACTCCTGTGCTCAAGCAGTCCTCCCACCTCAGCCTCTCCAGTGGTTGGGACTACAGGCATGCACCAACCACACCCAGATAATTTTTAAAATTTCTGTAAAGACGGTCTCACTATGTTGTCCAGGCTGGTCTCAAACTCTTGGCCTCAAGTGATCTCCCACCTCAGCCTCCCAAGGTGCTGGGATTACAAGTGTGAGCCACCACACCTGGCTAACATTTAGTACACCATAATGAAACATAATTTGAGCAAAGCTACTCAGTGATATTTTACCGAGATTAACTGGTTGTTACAATGTGGCTCTTATTTTTTTCATGTCCCCTTAAATCTAATTCTTACTCTTGGTACAAGATGAATTGGTAGAATCTTAGTTTTAAGTGTCAGAATTATGAAACCTATAAGAAGTTTCATAATTTTTATTAAAAAATAAATGGAAGTCAATCTCTATTCTGCCACTAATCAGCTCCATGGCTGTGGGTAAATCCTTTAAATCATAATAGACTTCAGAGTATTCTGAAAAATGAAAGGACTATACAAAATTATTCTAAAGATCTCTAACAATACTAAAATTTGATTTTGTTTTTTAAATTAAAACTTCACCATCAGAAAATGATTACCTTTTGAAAGTTGGTATTAGGGAATGGCACTGAATGATTAAATCCACCTGTAAGATGAAAATAACTTCTCTAAACTGCCTTTTAAAAAGCTCTACATTGCATACTTTTTTTTTTGGAGACAGAGTCTTGCACTGTTGCCCGGGGTGGAGTGCAATGGGGCAATCTCAATTCACTGCAACCTCCATCTCCCAGGTTCAAGCAATTCTCCTGCCTGAACTACAGGGGCTCACCACCAAGCCTGGCTAATTTTTTGTACTTTTAGTAGAGATGGGGTTTCACTATGTTGGCCAGGCTGATCTTGAACTCCTGACTTTGTGATCTGCCCACCTCGGCCTCCCAAAGTGTTGGGATTACAGGCGTGAGCCACTGTGCCTGGCCTGCATACTCTTAATAAATGTAAACTGTTTAAAAAATAAAAGGGGAGACGTGGTGGCTCACATCTGTAATCCCAGAACTTTGGGAGGCCAAGGCAAAAGGATCGCTTGAGCTCAGGAGTTCAAGACCAGCCTGGGAAATAAAGTGAGACCCTGACTCTACCAAAAAAAAAAAATTGGACAGGCATGGTGACATATGCCTATGATTTCAGCTATGGGGCTGAGGCAAGAGGATTGCTTGAGCCCAGGAGGTCAAGGCTCCACTGAGCCATGATTGTACCACTGCACTCAAGCCTGAGCGACAGTGATACCCTCTCTCAAGAAAAAAAATGTGTAAAGGGCCTTTTCTTTGACATTCAAACAGATCATGTTTGTTTTGTTGATCACTATGTTAAGAAGTTACTGTGAGTTTAAGGGTCATGTTTTTATACTTCAGTCTTGGAATCACGTTGTTTATAGAGCTATGCCTACACTGTAAGAAATGTATGGAAAAGGCTGGGCACAGTGGCTCACGCCTGTAATCCCAGCACCTTGGGAGGCTGAGGCGGGCAGATCACCTAAGGTCAGGAGTTCAAGAATGGTGAAACCCCGTCTCTACTAAAAATATAAAAATTAGCTGGACACGGTGGTACATGCCTGTAATCCCAGTTACTTGGGAGGCCAAGGGACGAGAATTGCTTGAACCCGGGAGGCAGAAGTGGCAGTGAGCCAAGAGTGCGCCACTGTACTCCAGCCTGGGCAACAGAGCAAAACTGTCTCAGAAAAAAAAAATGTTTGGAAAATAAGACCATCAGAGAGAATAGGGATTGCCTTCCATCTTATGTTTATTACAAGGCTGGCACATTTTCCCACATTTGAATGGAAGAGCAGGCAGAACAGCGTATGTAATTTTTTTTTCTTTTTTTTTTTGAGACAGAGTCTTGCTCTGTCGCCAGGAGCCAGGCTGGAGTGCAGTGGCACGATCTCGGCTCACTGCAACCTCCACCTCCCGGGTTCAAGCAATTCTCCTGCCTCAGCTTCCCGAGTAGCTGGGACTACAGCTGTGCAGCACCATGCCCAGCTATTTTTGTATTTTTTTAGCAAGAGACGGGGTTTCACCATGTTGGCCAGAATGGTCTTGATCTCTTGACCTCATGATCCGCCTGCCTTGGCCTCCCAAGGTGCTGGGATTACAGGCATGAGCCACTGCGCCCGGCCAAATTTTTTTTTTTTTTTTTTTTGAGACAGAGGCTCACTCTGTTGCCCAGGCTGAAATGCAGTGGCACAATCTAGGCTCACTGCAACTTCTGCTTCCCGGGTTCAAGTGATTATCGTGCCTCACTCTCCCGAGTAGCTGGGACTATAGGCACCTGCCACCACACTCAGCTAATTTTTGTATTTTTAGTAGAGACAGGGTTTCACTATGTTGGCCAGGCTGGTCTTGAACTCCTGACCTCAAGTAATATGCCTGCCTTGGCCTCCCAAAGTGCTGGGATTATAGGCATGACCCACTATGCCAGGCTGCTTATATAAAATTTTAATAACATCAGAGACATAAATGTACTGTCTATAATTTTAAAGTCATATAAATCCAAGGTTTATATACTCTTCTCTTGCCTCCCCATTCTTCTTCCCTAGGGGCAACTGTTTTCCATTCTTAATTGTTTCTTTAGAATTTAGTTCCTCAACTTCTCCCCATAGAACTACTATAATTTTGGTTAAACAGATATTTATGACGAACTAGTGCTACTTCTACCTAAGCCACACAGTTGACTTTTATTGGACAAGATTTTGTTTTCTAGCTATTAATTCTCTCCTGTTTACATTTTTAATGCATCTGTCACGAATTCTCTTCCCTATTTTCTGACAGAACGGTGAACAACCAGGCGCCTACCAGTTCTATTTTCTTCCCAGACATCCTTCCTGAGTTCTATATGCTTTTGGTTCCAGACACCGGATCTTTCTCCCTCCCTCCCTCCTTTCCTCCCGCCCCCCTCTCCCTTCCTTCTTCCCCACCCCCTTTTTTTTGAGAGAAGGTCTCACTCTGTCACCCAGGCTGGAACACAATGGCACGATCACAGCTCACTGCAGCCTTGACCTCCCGGTCTCAAGCAATCCTCATATTTTAGCCTCAGTAGCTGGGATTACAGGCACCACACCACCATGCCCAACTAATTTTTGGTAGAAACAGAGTTTCACAATGTCTTCCAGGCTTGTCTATAACTCCTGGGCTCAAGCAATGTGCCCACCTTAGTCTCCCAAAGTGTTGGGATTAAACGCGTGAGCCACTGTGCCCGGCAGGCATCAGTTTCTATTATTGGTATAATAAACTACTAATTAATACCAGTAATTACTGGTTTCTAATTACTGGTCAAACATGGGTATGTTGGGTATGTTACTGTTTCCACAAAAAACTTTAAATGGTCTCATAAGGAATCAAACCAGCAATGGAGCAGGGTTTATTCATATATAGCATTCCTTCTTAAACTGAGATTTCCTAAATAAAGAGGAAATGAATCACCTTATTCATGCAATAGAGCTATTAACTGTCCAAAATTTACAATTCATCCCCAAATCTCATTTTAGACTATTTCCTTCCCAATTTAAACTCTGTTGCCCAGGCTTTATAAAAAGATTAAGACTTCACATTTGTCAAATATTAGAATTAGTCTTCTTTTCCTCCAATTCCCTTTTATCTCCTTCAAATTTTGGCAAAAAGACAAACCTAAAAATAAAGTTGCAATGTTATATACAAATAGGTAACAACTACCTGAATAATGGCTGTTTAATACAAAATGGAGATGCTTTTTAAAGTATTAACACAATTTTTAACCATCTAATAGTAAAGTATTTCTTCTAGATTTTCCAAAAAAAATGAACAATAGAGGATGCAAATGGATGGAAAGAGTTGGTTACTGCATGGAAAGAAAACGTTATTTTTGCTGCTCCCAGGCCAAGCTGCAATGATTATTACTTTTACACTTCTTATTTTTTTAAAAAGTATCTGTGCTTTTGTAAAAGAAAAATATAAAAAGTAGCAAAATGTCCTAAGTGCTGCCACCTACCTTATGTCAGTAATGACAATGACATGTTCACAGTCTCCCTGATGACAGTATAAGTAAGGAAAACCCAGCTTAATACTTAAGTCATTGAAGGTAAAATCTTCCATTCTGGCAGTCTGAAACTTTCCATAGCCTCTATCATGGGACTCTGACCACTCAATGATAGTTCTGAGGGGAGAAACGGCAAATATACATCATTTTTCAACAATAACTTAAGAATTACAGAAAGCAGTTTGCGATTGCAGTAATTCACATTAACCTAGCTCACCCAACTAACTAGACAGTTGCCATCTTGAGCTGAAGACCAAAATGCCTGACACATGTTGGGATTAGGGATGCTGAAGTTTTCTTAGACTATTAGAGCAGCAGTTCTCAAAGTATGGTCCTTGAGGTCAAAATTATCTTCACAATACTACTAAGATGTTATCTGCCCTTTCAACTCTTATCCTTTCATAATGGACCAGTTTTCTGCAGGCTACATGATGTGTATCACTTTAGCTTAAATGCAAAATGTATAATACATTTCATTTCAGCAAAATGTATAACCAATGCATTTTCAAAACACAATTCATCGTTATGTTTTGAAAAATTTTTCACAAAATGTTAGCATGTAATGAGATTATTTAATATTTCAAATTTCTTAGTTTAAATCTTTAATATTATAAACATTGATAGTTATAACCCACATAAGCAGTAGCTTATTGGGGCCCTCAGTTATATACAGTATAAAGAAATGCAAGGCCAGGCGAGGTGGCTCATGCCTGTAAACCCAGCACTGTGGGAGGCCGAGAGTTCAAGATTAGCCTGACCAACCTGGAGAAACCCTGTGTCTACTAAAATACAAAATTAGCCAGGTGTGGTGGCACATGTCTATAATCCTAGCTACTCGGGAGGCTGAGGCAGGAGAATCTCTTAAACCGGGGAGGCAGAGGTTGCGGTGAGCTGAGATCATGACATTGCATTCCAGTTTATGCAATGAGCGAAAAACTCTGTCTCAAAAAAAAAAATAAAAGAAAGAAAATAAATGCTGAAACCAACAGGTTTGAACTGTTAGGTTAGAATATAGATTAAAAATGACTACAATAGGCTGGGTGTGGTGACTCATGCCTGTAATCTTAGCACTTTGGAAGGCCAGTGCAGGCTGCTCACTTGAGGCCAGGAGTTCAAGACCAGCCTGGCCAACATGTCAAAATCCCCATCTCTACTAAAAACACAAAAATTAGCCGGGCATGGTGGCACACACTGTAATCTCAGCTACTTGGGAGGCTAAGGCATGAGAATGGCTTGACCTGGGAGGTGGAAGTTGCAGTGAGCCAAGTACAGTCATGCCCCTGTACTCCAGCCTGATAATGAAAGTATGGTCTCATTAAAATAAGCTTAGATATAGATTTTTCCTATGTATGTACTTAAGCAACATATATATCATCATCACCTAGGGCAAACAATAGTAAATACTGGATAAGCAGAAAAAATAGTGAAAGGTTAATTTACCACTATTACCTGTATATAAAGGCCAGAGATTAATAAGGCATGTTAATGGGATTTAATTTTTTTCTTTAAGAGACAGAGTCTTGCTATATTATGCAGGCTGGAGTGTAGTGAGTATTCACAGGCAAGATTATAGCATGCTATATAGCCTTGAACTCTTGGCCTTAAAAGAGTCTCCAGCCTCAGCCTCCTGAGTGGCTGAGGCTACTATGCCTAATTTTTTTTGCATGTATGTAATGCTCAAGACAAGATTTATCAGTAACTCCTCAGCAAAGATCCTTAATAGCCCAATAATAGGATTTGTGGAGATAATTGCTACTTTGATAACTAGTAATAAGAAAGATTTTGAGAAGATTTTTGGAAACTATACCTGCTCAAATCTCTGCATTCTGGGTATCTTTTATCATTATAAAATGTTCCTTCAAAATAAAAAAAGGCTGATTTGTATAGGTCCTATAAGAAAACAGATGGTATTGAGAGAAAGTCAACTATTAGCAATTATGACACTGCTGTAAGTATTAATTTAAAATTTATATATCATAAAATCACACTAATATGTGTTATAAAAACTGCTGCTACTTTCAATTTTACCCTATTGCTGTTTTAATCACTACGTTTGATTTACCTGAGCTTCATGAAAGGAAGCCAATTAGATATCAAATAAACATTATTTTATTGTAACATACACAGCAGTAAGTTGTGTTGGATACTAGAACGAAAAACTAAACAAAGCCCTATTTTTAATGTTTCCCCAGTGATAACAATGATCATCATGTTTTTCTAGCATTTTTCGTATTTCTTTCTTTATATTTTCAATAACCCTTAGGCAGACAGAATCTGAATTTCTATTTTTACTCAAGCAATCTTGCCCCAGTTACCATAGCTGTAGCACAACTGGTCTGAACCTTCAAAGTTTCTTAACTCATTTTACCAGAATTTCTATCAAAGGAGTGGTTCTCAATCCTGACTGCAAAATCAAATTACAAAAACACCAAACACCAAGTGTCAACTCAGATTCATTAGTTAAGAATCTTTGGGGATCGTATTTTTCCAAAGCTCTCTGGAAAAAAACATGCAACCAGAATTGAGAAGCACTGTTAAACTCACCATATATTTAGAAACAGACCCCTGGATGAGGGTCAAAAGACCTGAGTTCTTTTCCTTAACCTACCACTTCCTAGCTTTGTGATTCTGGTATGTAGCAATCACTTCTGAGACCTGTTGGCTCATCTGTAAAATGAGAATAATAGTATCTGCCACAATGTCTTACAGGATTGTGGTGAGGATAAAAAGCAATTTATGTATAGGAGATATACATTTTAGGTACTACAATAATTTTGCCCTAATATTTTAAGTTTTCACCTACTTTTTTGAAGCTTCTATTTTTCTTTTTTTGTCTTCAATACCCCACTTACAGATCATCTTGTGTTCGCATCAGGCACTCTTGCAAGATTGGCTATGTTGTTTCTTCTTGGACCAGTCACTAAATGTCACTGACCCTCCGTTTTCTCACGTAAAATGTGAGTAAAGCCCTTACCTTCCTCACAGGTTATGGAAAGTAAAATGTACAATGTACTTCATGTCATATGCCTAGCTGCTACAATACAAAATCTGCCACTAATGTACTCTTCATCCTCAAAAAGGTAAGTAAGCAGGGTCCAAAATAAAGGTTCTAAAAAAGTAACTATTAGCCAGGTGCGGTGGCTCACGCCTGTAATCCCAGCACTTTGGGAGGCTGAGGAGGGTGGATCACCAGGTCAGGAGTTCAAGACTAGCTGGGCCAATATGGTAAAACCCTGTCTCTGCTAAAAATACAAAAATTAGCCGGACACGGTGGCAGGCACCTGTAATCCCAGCTACTTTGGAGGCTGAGGCAGAAGAATTGCTTGAATCCATGAGGTAAAGGTTGCAGTGAGCCAAGGTAGACTCACTGCACTCCAGCCTGGGCGACAGAGTGAGACCCCACATCAAAAAAAAAAAAAGTAACGATTGACTTATTTTGGAAACAAAACAAACTTTAATGTATATATAATTGTATTTTTATAAAACACTTCCACTGAACTTCATCTTAGGTGATTTAAGCAACTTAAGATCTTTTGGCATAATTATTAATTACAAGGTGAACTCTAAAAGAACAAAAATGTTTTCTGTTTAAATCATAAGTCATCCTCTGATAAACTTTCCTGGCCGGCACGGTGGCTCTCACCCATAATCCCAGCACTTTGGGAGGCTGGGGCAGGCGGACTGCTTGTGGCCAGAAGTTTGAGACCAGCCTGGCCAACATGGCAAAACCTTGTCTCTACTAAAAACACAAAAATTAACCAGGCCATGGTGGCACACACCTGTAATCTCAGCTACTTGGGAGGCTGAGGCACAAGAATGGCTTGAATCCAGGAGGCAAAGGTCGCAGTGAGCTATAAAGTGCACCACTGCACTCCAGCCTGGGCAACAGAGTGAGATTCTGTCTCAAAACAAACAAACAAACAAACAAACTTTCCTTATCTCAGCATATAAATGGAATAACTTGTATAAGAAATTACTTGTTATTAATAGAATATAATCTAAGAGTCTACTATTACCAAAGTAACTACTGATAGCTAGTATGTTCCTTTGAAGAAAGTCATTATCTACAGTTTTAGGCAAGTATATTAGTTGTTTATTGTCTTGCAAACTTGAGGAACACTCTTGGGATCTGCTGTGAGGGAAACAGTACTGACAGTTCCTGTGATAAAGGGAAGGAATGAGATAGTATAATAGCTTAATGAAATCCCACAGGAAAAGAAAGGATTTACTAGGACATGTATGAATCTGCTAGAGTAGTCGCTGTTTTCTTAGCTTGTTATTTCCTTTTGTTTTATGGGAGGAAATCACCTTACTTTGCTGATGTGCTCAGGGGCTTGGTCAGGAGTGTTGCTGAATTCACCACCAATCTGGAGGTCACTGACACAGCAAATTGAATCCCTCAGTTCTGTGAGCTTTTGACTGCCCAATACCAGCATTGTTTGGTATGGTTTGTGTTCTTTGTGCTGAAAGTCAAAGAGTAAATAAGTGTTCACTTAGAGACAAAGCAATGAAACTACAAATCCTGTCGTAACTAGATCAAAATTAAATTGCTGGTTTTCTAAAGTTTAAATTGTCCCTATAACTTGGTGTTCTGTATTTTCACATCCAATAATTACAGGGCTAAACTAATAGTCAACATTGTTTACATCTCCCCTGTGATCCGGAGCCACTCCTTTATCTAACCCTCACACACCAAGCTACTATTTCCCCTGGTATTCCACCAACCTCAATCCACCCAGGGCCAAGCATCAGGCTACAACAGACAGTCCCTCTGCCCCCAAACCTACTGGAATTATTCCAACTAGCCAATCCTCAGCTGTTTACTCTTCCCTATCTTGAAGACAAGACAGGGAAAGACCCACAGAAACCCCCCAAAAAACTGTCATGTATGCCTTCCTCTCTCCCCTTTCCACCTCCTGACTGAGAATAGTGCTGCTTCCTGTGGCCCTACATGGTATGCCCCTTCCTTCCTCTAAGGAAATGTAATGAAAATCTTCTTTCAATGGCATCATAGCCTCTCCACATCATCACTCTGTCACCTCCATAAAATAGAATTCCGTGGAATGGCCAAGCACAGCAGCTCACACCTGTAATCCCAGCACTTTGGGAGGCTGAGGCAGAAGGATTGCTTGAGCCTAAAAGTTTGAGATCAACCTGGGCAACAAAGCAAAACCCCATCTCTACAAAAAATTTAAAAGTTAGCTGGTCACTGTGATACATGCTTGTAGTCCTAGCTACTTGGGCGGCTGAGGTGGGAGGATTACTTGAGCGAAGCTGCAGTGAGCCGAGACTGTACTGCTGCACTCTGGCCTGGGCAACGGAGCAAGGCCCTGTCTCCAAAAATAAACAAACAAGAAAATCCCATGGGTGTAACTGACATACTTAGCCATGGAAATTTTAAGCTAATCAAGATGACACTAAACTGATACCAAACTTATAATCAAGATGATACCAAACTGACACGAGCATTAGGAGCCACTGGAATATTAACTTCATCTAGCAAGACAGTCTTAAAATTTCCTAAGAGTTACTTCATTGAAGTTAGGCGATCTACACTATAACCTAAGGTTATAAACCCAAAGATTAATTACTTTGGTTTCGTTTGATTTTATGATTGGTCATTTGGGAGCTTTCTTTTTGGGAGTAGGTTGGCAGTGGGGGACAGAGTCTCATTTTGCCACCTAGGCTGGAATGCCATTAATAATCTTGGTTCACTGCAGCCTTGACCTCCCAGCTCAAGGAATCCTCCCTAGTAGCTGGGACTACAGGCACACACCACCATGCCTAGCTAATTTTTGTATTTTTTTAGAGATGAGGTTTTCCCATGTTGCTCAGGTTGGTCTTGAACTCCTGAGCTCAAGTGATCAGCCCACCTCAGCCTTCTGAGGGTGCTGAGACTATAGGTATGAGCCATTGCACTTGGCCAGTAATTTGAGATCTTAATCAAACAAGGTCATTAGTACTAACTACATCCCAGATGCTTTGTATAAGCCTAATTATTCTTAAGTGTAATTTATATATATTAGTATTTCAGTTACAACTTAGTTTATGACACATCTATTTAGGGAATTAAGAATATACACACTCTGGGCTAGGAAAGAGTTCTTTCTCCTAAGAGATTCATGGATACCCTTTACTTATTAACTTTCTGTATTTTCATCAAAGAAGAGCTGTCCCTGGTTAGTTCAATAACTTCCCAAGTATTCTAAATTAGTGAACATAAGTCACTCCACTCCTCCATTAGTCACCTATTCTGCAAAATAAATCCCTCAAGAATTTGTAGAACTAGAATCATTATGGATTTACATATACCTTCAGTTGCTTGTAGTGCAGAAATCAAGCATATATATTAATACTATACCTGTAATCCTACTGGATCAAGACATCATTTGAAATTTGACCTTATTTCCAATATTACTTATTAGAAGAGATGACACAAAATTATAGATTGCCAACTCTAAAAATAAGATGTCAGATAGGCAGCATATGTTTACATTTATTAGATAGGGTCTCACTCTGCCTTCTAGGCTGGAGTTCAGTGGTGCAATCACAGCTCACTTGCAACCTTGAATTCCTAGGCTCAAGTGATCCTCCCGTGTCAGCCTCCCAAGTACTTGGGAGTAAAGGTGTGCACCCCCATGCCTAGCTAATGTTTTTGATTTTTAGTAGAGACAAGGTCTCACTATGTTACCCAGGTTGGTCTGAAACTCCTGACCTCAAATGATCTGCCCACCTTGGCCTCCCAAAGTGCTGGGATTATAGGCATGAGCCACCATGCCCAAAACATTTACTTTTAATGTAAGCACAGGAATATGACACTTCAAATAATTACACACTTTCACAAAAGTTACTATTACCCACAAATGCAAAAGGTTTTACTACTTACCTTATGAAATATAACAGGGTACAAGATATTCACAGATAGGATAAGCTCCCCTTTTTCTATCATGTCTGCTAGATTTTCAGGCTTTTTTCCTATGGCATGTGACTCCTGGAAAAAGAAAAAGACTCTGAAATCAGACAGTATAACTCATCTGATTGTGTTACAGCAAGTAACACATCACACTCAGCAAGTCCTGGGTGTGATGCCTAATTATACTTCAGGAAAATTGTTAAAACATCTATAAGCTTTAGTTTCATCTTCTTTAAATAAACAAGCAAATCCAGAAAATACTTAACTTTACAAAACTATTGCTGGGAATGTGTACATAATGCATCTAATAAGATGTGTGGTACTAAGTACTTAGCATTGATGATCAAACAGGAATATCAACTAATGTTGGTATAACACTGTCATTTCCAGTTACATTTTCATATTCCTTATCAAATACTCTTATAAAAGCTATTTTACAGATAAAGCTCAGAGGTTCAGTGATTTATTCAAGGTCATACCAAAGAGTTAGGGTGCAAATACAGATTTGTTAGGCTCTAAATCCCATGCTTTTTATAATAACATCACATCTTGAATATATTACAAATCTTTTATATGTGCTGAATTAATATAAAATAGGGGCCAGGGTGGACTGGTTTAGATGCATGATGTTTTAAAAGTAAGTGGGAATGATGTCACAAAAGAGAGTGAGCAGCTCCAGGGCTCAGTCCCTCTAACAGAGAAGCAACAGAAAGCTGGAATGAGAGACTAGAATAAACTATTTTGGAACTCTGAAACCTGATAAGACACTTAGAACAATCAGGGGAGTGTTTGATGAAGGGAGAATTTGCTGCTTTTTGTTAAGTAAGCAATCTGTGCAAATCAACTACCACCCCAACTCCTTTATCCCTCTGCAGATGAGACAGCAGCCCAAATTCCTGGAGAAGGAGGCTGGTATCAGGGCAGGCAGTGGGGACCTGTTCTCTAAGAAGTGGTAACTGTATGTTTTGGCTGGTCTGGCGATGCTGAGTGCCTGGCCTAGATATGGGTGTTGGTTTTAACTTTGTTGATAGCAGCAGCCTCCCCTAGCAGCATCTGTATTGGAAGACTTACAGACAAGATGCTTTTTTTCTTTTTGGAGCCAGATATTTAAGGAAATTCTTGTCAGACTGCTGATTGACCACAGAGATAATGAAACAGAAACATTGGTGACTACATCCAACAAGTAATACAAATGCTGCAATAGTATTGTTTGGAAAAGTCACAGGCAGATGCAGCCATGCACAAGAAATAATATACCCAGAATGTCTACTTCTCAACAAAAATATATAAAACACAAAAAAGTATGGCCAATTCACAGGAAAATAAGAATTTAACAAAACCAACCCTGAGGAAGCCCAGACATTGGAATTACTAGTCAAAGATGTCAATTAATTATTATTACAGGCAATAGCTACATTCACATATAAATAAAAGTCCACTCAACAAAGATGTTAAATCAACTGACTTAAATGTGCTCAATGAGTACCTCAAAAATTTGTAGTCATTATGTATCAACTTTAAAAATATGTTTAATCAGCTAAACAAAACCACAAACACCTAAAGAAAATCAGATTTCTCAATAAGATTAATAGCAGTTTTCTCATCAGAAAACATGGAGGTAAAAAACCAAAGAATGGGCAGATGGACACTGACTGATTGCTTTTAATCAATCAATCTATCTATCTATCGATCAATCGATTGGCAAGGTCTCCCTATATAGCCTCAGTTGGCTTCAAACTCTTGGGCTCAAGTGCTCCTTCTGTCCAGCCTTCTGAGTAACTGAGACTATGGAAACCTACCACTGTGTTCAGCTTTTAAATTTTTTTACTTTTGTTTTTCCTTTCTGGATGACATATTTAAACCCATGAAAGAAAAAAAAACTGTCAACCAAGAATTCCGTATTTGGCAAAACTATCCTTCAGGAATGAAGGAGAAATTAAGATATTTTCAGATAAACAAAAGCTAGGGGAATTCATTACTACCAGTAGACCTGATCTGTAAGAAATGCTAAAGAGGATTTTTCAGGCTGAAAGGAAAAGACACTAGACAGTAATTTGAGCCATAAGAAGTAAGCAATACTGCTAAAGAGAACTACATAGGTAAATATAGAAGCCAGTATTATTGTACTTTTCTTTTGTAACTCACTCCTCTATGATTTTTCTGTTTTTCCTATATGATTGCAAACTAAATAAACAATACTTATAAACATAACTTTAAAGTTATGTTAACGGAAACACAATATATAAAGCCATAATCTGTGACAACCCAAAGAGGGACACACAAAGATGTGGAAGCAGAGTGTCTGAATACTATAGAAACAAAACTGACATAAATGCTCAATAATGATGGGACTATGCCTCAATAAACCCCATAAATTAATAATATCACAAGTGGAAAATGCATTTAAGACACCAATAAACCCATCATAAAGTCAAAACATCCTAAGTCAAACCACAGTAGATTGAGGACTGTCTGTATATTTATTTTATTTTATTTTTAAATTTTTATTTATTTATTTGGGAAGGGAAGAAAGCAGGAAGGGAGGAAAGGAGGAAGGGAGGGAGGAAGGAAGGGAGGGAGGGAAGGGAAGGAAGGAAATCAAGCAAAGAGAGAGACATTGCCGACCTGGATCTAGAGGTCTACAAGTTGATTTCTTTTTTTTCTTTTTTTGAGAAGGAAAAAAAAAAAAAAGGAGTAAAAGAGAGGAAGAAAGAGGAAGAAAAAGAGGGAGAGAGAATGGAAATGTTGCTTTATTCTAAAAAAAATGGGTATTAATAATGGCCAATCAATGTTTCATTTAAACCTATGAGTAGGTGTGATGTGGTATTGACAAGAATGTATATTTTGTGTATTTAAAGTGGAGAGCTCTATAAATATTTATTAAGTTTACTTGCTCCGGATCTGAGTTCGAGTCCTTGATATCCTTATTAATTTTCTGTCTCATTGAGTCTAAGTCTCTATGTATCTGGGTGTTAGGATCGTTAGCTCTTGTTGTTGCATTGATCCTTTTACCACTATATCTTTGTTGATTTAAAATCTATTTTATCAGATATGAGAATTGCAACTCCTGCTTTTTATTTATTTGTTTATTTTTGCTCTCCATTTGGTTGGTAAATCTTTCTCCATCTGTTTGTTTTGAGTCTTTGTGTATCCTTGCATGTCAAGTGGGTCTGCATGTAGCATACCGTTGGGTTTTGGCTGTATCTTTTGATTGGGGAATTTAGTCGATTTAAATTTAGGATTACTGCCATTTGATGTTAACTGGCTGTTTTATCCATTCGTTGATGTAAGTTCTTCTTTATGTTGATGCTCTTTACTTTTTGGTGTATTTTAGGAAGGCTAATACTGGTTGTTTCTTTCTATGTGTAATGCTTCTTTCAGAAGCTCTTGTAAAGCAGGCCTGGTGGTAATACAATCTCTGAGTACTTGTTTGTTCATAAAAGATTTGATTTCTCCTTCAGTTGTGAAGCTTAGTTTGGCTGGATATGAAATTCTGGGCTGAAAGTTCTGTTCTTTAAGGATGTTGAATATTGGCCCCCACTCTCTTCTGGCTTGTAGAGTTTCTGCTGAGAGATCTGCTGTAAGTCTGACAGGCTTCCCTTTGTGGGTAACCTGACCTTTCTCTCTGGCTGCCCTTAGTATTTTCTCCTTCTCCTTCGTTTCAACCCTAGTGAATCTAACGATTATGTGCCTTGGGGTTGCTCTTCTTGAGGAATATGTTTGTGGTGTTGTTCTCTGTATTACCTGGGGTTGAATATTGTCCTGCTTTGCTAGCTTAGGAATATTTTCCAGCTTGTATTCATTCTCTCCGTTGCATTCAGGTACACCTATCAAACGTAAATTTGGTCTTTTCACATAGTCCCACATTTCTTGGAGACTTTGCTCATTCCTTTTTATCCTTTTTTCTCTAATCTTGTCTTCTCATTTTATTTCATTAAGTTGGACTTTGACCTCTGATATCCTTTCTTCTGCTTGAACAATTCGAGTGTTTAAACCTGTGCATAATTCTTGGAGTTCCTGCATTGTATTCTTCAGTTCCATTAATTCACTAATATTCCTCTCTAAGTTGTCTATTCTCATTAGGATTTCGTCAAACCTTTTTTCAAAGTTCTTAGTTTCTTTACATTGTGCTACAACATGTTCTTTTAACTCAAAGAAGTTTCATATTATCCATCTTCTGAAGCCTGATTCTGTTAATGGGATGCGCTCGTTCTCCATCAAGCCTCGTTCCCTTGTTAATGAGGAACTGTGATCCTCTTTAGAGGGAGAGGCATTCTGATTTTGAGTATTCTCAGCCTTTTTACGTTGGTTTCTTCCCATCATTGTAAATTTATCCACCTGTCGTCTTTGTAATTACCAACTTTCAAATTAGGTCTCTGAGTGGACGTCCAAGTTGTCAATTCCTAGGGCCAAAATATGAGCAACCCACTGCGCCGGCCAAAACAGCAGCGTTAAGACGGATGGTGCTTTTTTGCCCAGGAATCTCCAGTCTGGCTTCCTTCTTGAGTCTGTAATAGGTGCCTCTGCCTTCCCGGAGCTCCAAACCTCGGTCAGAAGGGGAACCAGTCCCGTTTACTCTTCACCAAGAGCTGCCGCGCCGAGGTGCCAACACAACTGCTGCGCTGGCCACAAGAGTCGCACTGGCGACCTGTGTGGCTCCTCCAAACCTCGGTCAGAAGGGGAACCAGTCCCGTTTACTCCGCACCGAGAGCTGCCGTGCCGAGGTGCCGGCAAAACCACCGCGCCGGCCACAAGAGTCGTGCTGGCGACCAGTGGAGCTCCTCCACTGGGAATCTTCTGCTCCGTGAGCGACCAAAATTTGTCTGAAAGTGTGGCATCCTCTCGTTCTCTGAGCTTTCACTTGGAGCTGCAATCCCGAGATGTTAGCGATCAGCCATCTTGGATCATTCCTGTCTGTATATTTAAAAGTAAGTTGTTGCCAGGCATGGTGGCTCACGCCTATAATCCCAGCACTTTGGGAGTCTAAGGCAGGTGGATCACAAGGTCAGGAGTTTGAGAGCAGCCTGGCCAATATGGTGAAACCCTGTCTCTACTAAACTTACAAAAATTAGCTAGGC